ACTACTTACTACTACTACTACTACTACTACTACTACTACTACTACTACTACTACTACTACTACTACTACTACTACTACTACTACTACTACTACTAATACTACTCTACTACTACTACTACTACTACTACTACTACTACTACTACTACTACTACTACTACTACTACTACTACTACTACTACGACTTTTACGGCTTCTTCTGAACGCGGATGAATTGCGAGAGTCGCAGCTCGCGATGCACATAGATGACTCACCAGTTGAACTTCGAATGTCAGTCCGAGCTACGTGCGAGGAGGACGAGGAGGGGTGGCGGAGGACGGGAAAGGAGGGGGACGACAATCACGAGGAAGGAAAGGTTCCCAGGAGTTTGGTCCGCGCTGGGGCGATAGCACCACTCCAAACCACGGGAATAGCACCAGTTGCGAAAGGCCTAGAATGATCAGAATTGGGAATGCCGGAAATTAAATCCGACGTGTAAAGAACAGCGAAAAGTGGGGTTCTCGGACAGGATCCAAGGAGAGATGATAATCATACTCACGTGGAGGATTCGCAGGGATAGGAGGAGGAGGAGGAGAAAGGCGACGACCCCGGATGTGGAGGGCCCTGGACCCTGGATAACCCTAGCGCCAGAAGAGGGCGCTGTTTCGCTCACGCGGCCGGCCTCGCTCTTCAGGGTGGCAGATTGCCTCTTCTGGGCAGGCTCGCCGGCGGTTGGAAGACGCGGACTCCAGGGACACTGTCCGCTCGCTCTTGGGTCAAGAAGAAGCTCCACCCGGGGCAATCACCGCCCGCGCGGGCGAGCGCGCTACCCAGCGCTGCGGCGAGGCCCATTTCAGCAAGACCCGCCGCGCGTTGCGCTCGACATGGGGCAGGCGCGCAGCGGGGTCCTGGAGCGGCCCGGGCCCACATCCCAGCTTGGGACCGATGGGTGTGGCTCTACGTCGGGCATGTCCCTCTACAGGAGGAATGTTCAAAAAATAGTACGGGGACGGTTCTTCGATTTGTTTCTGATATTTTTTGCGCGTTTGTGGACAATCCAAAATCTATGAGGACATGCCCGACTAAGCATGGCTGTGCGAGGCCCCCAGCGGGGCCGCCGCGGCGCCGCCGGCCGCTGCATGCGCCGCCTGCGTTCGCGGCCTGGCGACCGAGCGCGAGGGGGCCATCCAGCTTTGGGGGCGCAGCGGCCCGGCCGTCCGCGCACCTTCTTCGACGTCCCCGTCCGGCCGTCAGGCACACCGCATTGGGTGACGTCGACGCGCTGCGGGCCGCCGCTGGCCGCGACTGGGCCGCGCATGCCGCCGCCGGTGCGGGCAAGCGCTGGTAGCACCCGGCGAGGCAGGCGCCCTGGGGAACGTTGACGCTGGCGCTGGGGACCGCCGGCCAACACGGCCAGGCGTCGGGCGGGGCCAGGACGAGGATAGATCTGCTCAGGAGCGTGTCAGGACGCTCTCAGAGAGAGCTCCGGAACGCGCTGAGAAGGCCGCGGCGCACGAGACGTCCTCCAGAGCCGCCGGCTCCCAGAGATTCTCGCTTTATCCTCACCTGGTTTTCTCCTCGCCCTGGCTTCGTCTTGGACGCTGGCGCTGGAGGCCGCCAGCCCACACGGCCACAAGCGGCTCCGCGGCACACCCTCGCAGCAGCGCCCAGGAGCCAGGCCGCGCTGCGGGAACCAGGCGGCGACGCCGCGGCGGAGGCCGTGACCGGGCAGCCGGTGGCCCGGCGGGGCCGTCGAGCGGCGCGGGGCCCTGCGCCGGGCCACTGCGCAGCCGCGGCTTGGGCGCGGACCGCGACAGCCAGGCGGGCGATCAGCGGGCCGCCGCGGCGGCTTGATGCCTCCTGGCGCCCGTGCTGAGCTGCGGATGTGGGGGCTGAAGCCTTGTTGGTGTTGTGACCCCTTCGGCACCCGCAAGAGGAGGAGGAGGAGGAGGAGGAAAAGGAGGAGGAGGAGGAGCAGGGAAGAGGAGGAGGAGGAGGAGGGGAAAAGAGGATTGATGATGAGGATGAAGAAGAAGGAAGAATAACAATAGTAATACTAATAATAGTAATAAGAAGAAGAAGAAGAAGAAGGAAGAAGAAGAAGAAGAAGAAAAAGAAGAAGAGGAGGAGGGGGGAGGGAGGAAAGAGGAGAGAGGACAGAGGAGAACGAGCCGTCCCTCTTCCGACCGCCGCCGAGAGGCACTGTACCACGGCATGGTGTGCCTTCCCTCCTCCAACCAGCTGCTCGAGGCTGACATCGAGCGCATTTGCGGGGCGCTCGAGGATGCCATCGGGCAGGCGCCGCAGTGCTGATGCCACAAAGTTGATCGCGCGGTCGCCGCCGCCGCCGCCGACGCCGCCGCCGCCGCCGCCGCCGCTGTCGTCGTCGTCGTCGTCGTCGTCGTCGTCGTCGTCGTCGTCGTCGTCGTCGTCGTCGTCGTCGTCGTCGTCGTCGTCGTCGTCTTCGGGCGTCGTCGGGCGTCGTCGGTCGGCTGAGGACGCAGCGTTGCCGGGCACAGCGGTT